CCTAATTAAAAATGAAAATTTTTCTATGAGTTTTGGGAGGTTATACAAATGAATCACCTATTTTTAATGGCCTTAGAGAATCTTTAAGATTTTGGGCTCGTTCTAAAGAAGCATGGTTGAAAGAAGATTCTAAGGCACACCAAAAAGGACAAAAGGTAGTGTGATCTAGAGCCCCAACCATGGATTCCTCAGTAAGAGAGGATTGTAGAAGAAGAATTACCCTTTAATCAGTTTCAACCCATATGTAATAGTCTAATTTGGTATAGTTTTTCCTTCTATTGTGATTCTAGTTGTTGGTATCGTAGATAAGCCGTCAACATAGGAAACCCACTTCTGATGAGTTAAGATGGGAACAACATGATTTCTCCATAGAAGGTAATTAGATAAGGTTAATTTGATAGTAATCATGTGTAAAAGGGTGGCCATAGGTATGGTAGAATCATTGGAGGGAGAGAGAGGTGACATGATCAGATCCATTGTTGAAGAATTTTTGATAGAGAAGATGACGACAAGATTAGGGTTAAAGAGAGGGGGTCGTATTACGGTGAAATCATGTTACGATAGAATAATTTTACCAAACAAATCTTTATGATATTGATTGGGGGTATAAATACATACAAAATTACAAAGGTGAAAAATGAGAAAAGATAACCACAATTATTTACAAAGATTATCTACTAAAATAAAAGATATTGAATATATTATATAATATATTCGTTTATTTATTAGCAACTTAAGTCATCAATCCAATCCTATCAATGAATTGGGACTACAAGCAATTTCGTCCATGGTCCCCCATGTGGTGCCAAATTATGATATCGAATTTGGTTGGATTTGATTGACATACATTTGCTCTACAACTTTAGAACTTGGTATGAAGACATACATTTGCTTCAACATTAGAACTTGGTATCAATTGCCAAAAAAAAATAAATAAATAAATAAAAAATAAAAAATAAAAAATAATGTTAGAATCAAGGGTTGGACCCCAAGCCCTTAGTCCCTTACCCAATATGATCTAAATCTTGTGTTGAAGGTATAAGTTCAATCAACTTTGAGTTGTATATGTAGATGATATTCATACTTGTAAAATTCTAATTGACAATATAAATATCATTTACATATATAGTATATTCATTAAGCCCCGCACTTTAAAATCCATTTAACGACTTCATCTATACTCTATACATACATAGATACGTTTACTTCTTTAATTCTTTTAAAAGTTTTTTCCATTCATTTAGCCCAACAACTTATGAAGGTCCATTTACAATTTCTATATATATGCATACATAAACATCATAACATCAAAAAAAATGTATGATTCATTTGTCAAGCACCACAGGTACGAGAGTGTTATCCAATCTAACGAGGTCTACGTATAGCACAGAAATATATTATTCATTGACAGTCACATGACATAACATGAGGTTATAATTTACCTGTTTATGATAGTACATAGCAATTTGAACAAGTTGCTGAATATCAGCACCACATATTTACATCAGAGAAAGTGGGCCTCATGAAATATACTTCTAGAATCAAAAACATGTAGACAACCCCTGAAATATGTTTCTTGTCTTTCCATGGAAAAATAATTAATTTGATATACATTTTTTTTTTGGAAGTGATTAATTTGATATACATAACATATATAGATACATACGTAGATATATATAGTTCACGAATAAATTTCAGATAAGAGAATTTTAAATGCTTTGAAGGTATGTAATCTAAAGCTTATAGAATGTGCTTTGTGTTTCAGTCGTAATACCAGCAATGTCATTCTTGATTTGGATGATTATTCTAATATCTTTATAAAAAATAATAAAATATATAAATTTGGAGTTTTAATGGATTAAAAGTATTTTATTGGGCCTTTAGACGTCTTAGTCTTAGTCCACTTTCGAAAAAGCTATTGTTAACTCATCTTTCAAATAAAAACGAAGGAAAATGGAGAAAATGACTACTTGACCGTGGGATTGATTTGATTAAAATAAATAATGTGCATCTTGAAGACTTGGTATTAAATAAGAATGCAAATACAATGTCTTGACTTGGTATTAGATAAGAAGGCAAATACAATTTCTTTTATTTTATTATATAATTATCCGATTTAAAGAAAAATAAATACAGAAAATCATGTGAGTCTTATAGTAAAGAATAATTTGATCTTTTTGAATGAAGCCATCTCATAAAGGATTTTTTAGGATGATGTAGAGACCAGATCTTATTGTGGGTTAATAGTTGTAGAAAATTAGATTCTAAAATCACATGTACATATATCAATTGGTATTTAAATCCAAACTTATACGAGTGTCTTGTTTTTTTTTTTTTCTAGCTTATTACTAGTTTTTTTTATAAATTTTGATGGTTAAAACTTTAAAGTAAATTATATAGAGACAAAATTGTAAGCACGGTTCATGTGTTGTATCATAACCCCTAAGTTTGGTTCAAACAGTGGTCCAAAACTTTGATTTTATTGCAATTTTGGTTCAAAATTTTCTAACCTTTTCATAAAAACTTATTTATCCTTGGTATTTTCTTTTCTTAAAAAAAAATTATTACAGAAATCAAAAAAGAAACTACTCTCTCTCTCTCTCTCTCTCTCTCTCTCTCTTGCAAATTCAGTCTATTTCTATTAATGGTTTAGTCGATTTGGGGGCAAGCATTAACATTATGCCTTATTCTTTCTATAAGAAGCTTGGTTTACCAAGGCTCTAAGACACAAGGATGACAATTCGAATGACGGGTCACTCGATTACTTACCCATGAGGAATCATTGAAGACTTGTTAGTGAAGGTGGGAAAATTTGTTTTTCTAGTTGACTTTGTGATTCTCGACATGAATGAAGATGAAGACCTTCCCATTATTTTGGGAAGACCATTCTTGAGTACTGCAAGAGATCTTGTTGATGTCCACGACTCAAGGCTCACATTTCGTGTAAAAAATAAAGCAATTACATTTGAGATGAGTCCAAAAGTGAGTCATGAAAAGCCGAAAGATGAAGTGTCAAAGATGGATGATATGGAAGAAGACCTTAGTGAGCAAGAAGAAATTGAAAAGATAATGGAAGAATAATTGAAGGTTTGGGAAAAGCCCCATGTTGCAAATATCCAACGTTCTAAACCAAGAGCCTTGATTCCGATGAAATTGAGGTGATCGCGTTTACTACACCCAAGGTTCAAGTGGAAGAGGAAAGAAATGAAATAGAAGAAGACTTATAAGAAGAAATTGAGATCATTGATGAAGACGTGGGTGGAGAATTAAAGGAGCCAATAATGGTAAAGATGGAGTTAGACAAGGAAGGTCCTAAAGAAGATGATAAGAAGAACATAAAATTGAAAGGAAAAAAGAAAGGGGTAAAGCGTAAACATGAAGAAAGTACCAATAAAAAGAAGAAGGAAAATTCAAAGAAGGCATACATTTGAAGGGTTCAAGCATACAAGCATAAGTGGAAAGAGCAAAAGAAGAAAAAGGAGATCCCACTCCCAATCACAACAATGTAGAGTGGGAAGGAGTCCTGCTCATGACTCCTCAAAAAGAAGCGGTTTTCGGGAGGCAACCTGATGTTTAAGAATTTGCATTGTCTTTGCCTTTTGATTTCTTTTAAGTTTTTAGTTTTTATTTTTAGTTTTTATGTTAGTTTGACCAAATGATCATGTGTTTCTCTAGTCTTCTGATTTTATTTTGTAGTGTTAGAAGAAAAATACGTGAAGCGGTAAAGGAGCTTAATGGATGAAGAAGTTGTGTTATTTGTAAAGATTATAATTAAAGACCATATTTTTTAATAAGTGTGGGGTTCCTACTTAATGAAGAGAATATTTTTGAATATTTTTACAGAAAG